TTGCCAGAACTATTCCAGTGAGTCCAGATTCAAGTGGGAAACGTTTGGGGACCTGTATGTGTAAATTTCATTACTTTTTGGCATTGGAATTTATTACTCCCAAGTCCTAATCAACTATATAAAAACTCCCCAATTCACTAGATTCAGACTAATTCATTTCTCTCAATCCAACAATCTGCAAAAATGTCACTCGATTCAGCAACGTCGATGTCGAAAGATAACATATCCCTGAACGCTGTACCGGAGGCTGAATTCTCCCAGTTCTTTCTGATTTTTCCTCAAAAGATGATCAGAGAGATATTATTGAGACTCCCTGTGAAATCCCTATTGAAATTCAGGTGTGTTTGCAAATCATAGCTTTCTTTGATCTCCAGCCCAGAATTCATGAGAACCCATCTCAAAATGTCAAGTAATAACAATATATACTCCCACAATAGCCTAATTCTGGGACGTTCGTCTGATTCTCTGGATCTCTGCACTTGTCCCCTTTACGATGAAACAGAAGAAATCCCATCTATGGATATTGTTCTGGTTGATTGTCCTTTATTTGGCCCCGTGACTATGCTACGGATAGTGGGTTCTTGCTATGGGTTGGTGTGCCTAGTTTTGGATCTCAATACTGTTATTATTTTGAACCTAGCAACAAGAAAGTCCCGAGAATTTCCAATTTCTAGTATCAATGTATTTGATACAGAATACGGGCTTGCTTATGATGAATCTACTGATGAATACAAAGTTGTAGAAGTTGGTTGCACGATTGATGGTTTGGATGAAATTAAAACTCTTGTCCAGGTGTACAGTTCAAAAAGCGATTCATGTAGAATCATTGACGGGCCTCCTGGATTCGTATTCACTGGCTGCAGTGTATTTGTGAATGGAGCTATCCATTGGAAAGTACTATACCCCAGAAATAACCCGAGGGATTGGTTTGTTGTGGCACATGGAATTGCAACTGATAGATTAGAATTGGTACGCAAACCCAAGTATGAAACAGGGATTGACGATGCAATGCTGATCGTTTCGGGAGAGCGACTTTGTGTTTCTTTGAGTTATCAAACAAAAATTGATATATGGATTTTGAGAGAAGATGGCAATGAAGAATATTGCACTAAACTAGTTCAAATTCCATACTATTTGGATCTCAGCAATAATCATTATATTAAGCCAAATCCTTTGCTTATATTAGGAAATGGTGAGGTTCTATTAAGCTATGGATCATATATTGTGATGTATGAGCCATTTAAGACTTGTGAGGTTCATACCTTTGATGAGAATATTGAATTTGAAGCTGCTACCTACACAGAAAGCTTTGTTTCTACTGAATTTCAGAAATGAGGAGGGCAGATAGGCCGGCTTCAATACCAAAGAGAAACAAAGATAAATTCCAGTATATATTATTGACAATGGTTCACTATACTTGTACAATCAAACAGGCTATTTACAGAAATAATGTATAAGGTAAATTTACATTTTGTCCATATAATTGCGACCTATTGATTTGTGCCAAATATATCAGAATCACCAGCTAGATGTGTGTGGACATTAATCAACGTTAATCACTTTACCCTTCCTCAAGCTTAACGGAGCAACGTGGAGATTGAGCTTAGACCGGAGAAATGCAAACCGATTGCAAGAGAGGCCTTTAGTAAAGTGATCGGCAAGTTGATGAGAGGATGGAACACAGTGAGTTACTAGAGTTTTATAGGCAACGAGTTCCCGAACAAAATGATAATTGATCTCAATATGGCGAGTTCTAACATGGAACACGAGATTGGTAGCCAAATGAATGACTGAGACATTATTGACACAGATGCACGAGCGGATGAGACTAGAATGCCAAGTTTGTGAAATAAATAACTGAACCAACGAAGTTCCGCAACTATATAAGCAAGGGCCCGATATTCCGCTTCTGTACTAGAGTAAGAAACGGTGGTTTGCTTTTTGGCTGTCCAAGTAAGAAGGTTGGGCCTTGAAAATATGCATGCCCTAGTTGTAGACCTACGATCATCAATAGCGCTAGCCCAATTAGAGTCAGAGAACCCATGAATGAAGTGATCAGAAGAGCGATGAAACACGAGGCCATATCCAAGAGTGCCCTTCACATAGCGAAAGATGCGTTTGACAACTTGTAAATGAGTAATCGGAGACTATGCATGAACTGGCAAACTTGATTTACCACAAAAGAAATACCAGGATGAGAGAAGGTAAGTATTGAAGGCCACCAACCATGCTCCAAAAAAGAGTGGGGTCGGAAAGGAGGCCACCATCAGTGCAAGAAAGCCGAGTATCCGATGGAAGTGGAGTGGGGACATGGTTTACACTTTGCCATATGAAACCGTTTGAGAAGATCAACTACATACCTTGTTTGTGCCAAAAAAAGTAAGGAGGATGTGCGGGACATTTCCATACCTGGGACAATTGAGAGATCACCCATCCAACGATTGTTAAAGATAGAACATAAGAGATTCAGAAAGGAGTCGATATCTTGAGCAGCAGAGCCAGTGACTATAATGTCATCAACATAGACAAGAATGAAGATGGAATGATGCAAACTCGGGTACGGGATCAGCGTGAAAATCGTGGAACTAATTGAAAATGTCGAGAAAGCCCAAATTCAGATTGTAGACGGTAGAATCTCGACCCACAAATTATTGAACCAAGCAACCAAACAAAAATGAAGTTTAAATGACCTCTTTATTACAAAAACCAACAAACCTCGATTTGCGAATGCTACAAAGGGTGCCTAATCCTTTGATAAGTTCTAAGGGTTGAACGCCACAAATGTAACAATATTTGATAAGTTCGGTACATGTTCAATTAAGAACAAAAAGAGAGAAATCTCATTTAATTCATAATATCAAAAAGG